TTGAGGACAGGATCAAATCACCTGTAGAGATGCAGTGGGAAACAAGGAAGAGGGAGAGTGAGGAGTCAGAGCCTCACAGCGTGCCACAGAATGTCAGATGGCTGGAGAAGGGAGGACTTGGTCAGGAAATGCTATGGGAGGAATTAAGGCTGTTTGGGACAAACTGTATTCATTTCCATTCGAATCAGTCTCTTTTCTATCCAAACATCCTCTTATCCCTCCCAATTCTACAGCATTTCTCATTCTTCAGAGGGAAAAAGACTCTGGAGTGGCCACGCCACCCCCACGCTCAGTCAGGGGCAGGCAGTGAGCAAGGCCTGAGAGAGGAGCGGGGAGTACGGGCTCTGGCTCGCGCTGCCTGGCGCTGTGCTCCCACCACTCCGGGTCGCCGCGGCAGATGCTGGGAGCATATGCCATGAATTAATTCCACTTTCCCTGAGACGCTCCGGCGAGAGGAATGGTGGTGCCTTTCCAACTTATTAACATAGGAGCTCCCCCCCACCTCCCATCACTTTGTCACACTTAATAAAACAGTCAGCCAGAGTCCCTTTAAGAGGTTCCTGGCTGGCCGGCAGGCTCTTTAATGGAAAGTTGCTTGATCTGGCTTTTTTTCAGCTTTTATTTTCTATATCTTTTTCCAGTGCTATGTATCCTGTATCTGCCCGAATATCCCCCCACAAACAACAAAATGTACTCTACTCAGGCATCTCCACCAAGAAAGTCTATAAATATTGTATCTATCATTATAAGCAAAAGCAGAGATTCTTAAAACTGAAAGGACCTGGAATTCATTTTCCCTTTCTGCACTTCTTTCACTTTGTCTCTAATGAAGCTTGCTATTTGCCCTCAGTAGGGTAGATATTTACACCCATTCAGAATCCCAGCAAGTCCCTGGGCAGACACCCCAGATCAGCTCACAGAGCTAAACATGCTGTTGACAACACACACTTCAACAGGTTCGCAGCTCTCCCTCAGCAATGTACGGACAGACCAGAACAAAGGGCAAACAGGACACAAGACTCTCTATGTTGAATTACCATCTTCAAATTGAAGATGGGAAACACCAGGTTTATGAAATCCATGTTTGAATCAGGCACTTGAGGTTTCACATTTCTAACCTTGATTCTGCCACAGATTTGCTGCGTGGCCCCGGGCACACCACTGCACCTTGCTTTACCCATCTGTGGAGACCGACAAGCAATTATTGCTCTATTCCTCGGCTAGGCACAGCCTGGAGGGCTGATCTGGGTTCCCCGGATCCAGGTGCACTGTTCTGAGAACTGCTCTCATTTCTCACCTCACCCGAGGATCAACCAGATCTACACCTTTGCAGGCTATAAGAAAAAAATTACACCTGCCATTTCTGCCTTTGCACGATCTTTCCACAGGGCTTTTCAGAAATGCAGGTTCCTGAGGCAGCTTTGCCTCAGCCAACATACACTGGTGCGTCACCATGAGCCAAGAGCTGGCCTGGGTATGCAAAAGTATCTCATCGTTTCTTTTTAGCAAGGAGAGTAACAGGAGTAGGTTCTCCTCTGACAGCACCAGCACCTGAGAGAGGCGAAGCAAGAGGTCTCAGTCACCTTCCCACTGCAACTAAAACACGACTGTGGAAAGAAGGTGGGTGGGAACAGCTTGCTGGAGGAAGGCCAGGAGCCAGACACTCACCTTCCCTCCTCCAGCTGGGGAAGGAATTGAAAAGACATGGAAACAAGTCTCAGTCTATTAAGTTTATTGAAGGAAATTAAAGAGACAACTTGATCACAGTGCACATAAATACTGAAGCAAGGAGAAAATATCTGACAGCATGGCTTAACTGGGAAGGTGAAGACATAAGCAGGCTCAGGGAACAGAAGATGAAACTCAAAAAGTGAGTCTAGAAATAAAGCAGATTTTGAATCATAAGGGCAATTATCAGAAAAACGAACTAGGGAAGACTTTCAAATATACTGTCTGCCTTTCTAAAAGACAGGCAAAGCTCAGCCACATCTCACTGGACTCTTTCACGGCCTGGATTATAGCAGGTCAGCCTAAATGATCAAACCCACCTCTTCCCAACTTAAAATAGATGAGGCTGTGATTTTTTTGAAGCCCTGCTCTCAAACCCTGCCCAGGCATTTGCTGGGCTCCTAAGGTCCCAGAGCGGGCACACATCTGGCTCACGCGCAGCTGCCTCCCACCCCAGAGCATCCCTGTCCAGGGCCCTAAGGGAGAAGGAGGTGGCCCAGCCCCAAGCACACTCCTCTGGGAGGTTTTATGCAGCTTTAGAGTAGCTCCTCCAGCATAACATGACCACAGCTCATCAGCAAACAGCTTACTCAACTCCCGCTCTGCTTTCCTTGTGCTCTCTTCTCTCCTGGCTCTCCACCAGCACCTGCTGTGGCCTCACTGCCCTCCAAATTTTATGCATACTGTTGTCCCAAATCACCAAACCTCTTTCCTCCTCTTGCCCGTACTCTGCCTCTCTCACAAACTCTGCTCTTGCTCGTGGCCCTCTCCTCCCCACATCCTGTCTCAAATGGCCCTCCCCAAGCCCTCACCCATTCCTACCTCCCACCATCTCCAGGAGGATCTCCAGGGTGCGATGTCCTCCTGCTCTTGTTTCAAGGAGTGCTTTCCTCTTCCTCTTGACTCCACAAGGGCCCCTGTGGGACTGAGCACCACTGCACAGCCCAGCTCCACTTCTCATTCCTCGCAGCTGGGAGAGCAGCCAGACAGGAGTGCTCTGCCCACCCAGGATGATCAGAGCAGCTCTTGGAGGCAGAAGATGGCTCTGCAAGCTTTCTTGGAGACAGCCCAGGAGGTGTTGGTGCAGCACACAGCTGCTAGAGGAGCAATAGACTTGGACTAACTCCTGCACAGAGCACTCGCTGGCTACAGCCCTCACTACTGCTTAGCTATTCGCTCTTCAGGCTCCATGTGGCCAGAAATGCCACCTCCCCAAGCCCTAAAGAAAACGCAACACATAACATGCCACATACCACACACCATACCTCAGGTGCTGGGCAACCAGAGACATTGGGTTCATAGTTCACTCACTCTTGTGATTGTGCCACTCTGCCATTTTCAGCTTTTGTGGTCATGGAAAACTGGCTGATTTGCAGTGGGTGACTGCATGATTTTGTGAGGTGACTCAAATGTGCAAGTGACACTGACTGAAGGGAGGAAGGTGGGCTCAACTCTCAGCCTCGCTTTTGCTCTCTGCTTGTGTTGTTTTCCTGCCCTTCTCCTCAACAAACCAGAGGCAAGTGTAGCATCATAGTAGGAAGACAGTTACTTCACTGGTAGAGACATGGTGCAGAGATCCAATTTTCAGTGGGGGTACTGGTGGTCTGTTTGGGGCCACTCCTGCAACCATCAAGGTTTGTCCTGTCATTTTCAGGGCACAGAAAGTTATGTTTGCTTCATGCTTCAAAGAGGCTAGAATCTCAGTGGAAGCAAATACCACTGAATAAGGTGATACCAGGCCAGCAGCTTATAGGAGCAGTTAGAACCTCAGATCAAGTAGAAGGGAGAGAACTCATGCTAGACGGTCCTACAGTCTGCAGCTGAGAGGACAACGCCTCTCTTTTCTCTGTGATCTTTGAGGGATTAACTGAGCAGATCCATGTCCCATTCCCTCCTCCCTTTACCATTCTTTTCCTCTCAAATGGCCTTGTTAGGTTTGTCTGATTTACTAAACTAGTTTGCTGATTTTTTTTTTCCTTTGGAATGTAGGAAGCATTCTAAATTCTCTTTGGCCAAGAACCATATGTGTCACAGAAAAATAGACGCTAGCTCAGCTGGGAAGTTTTTGTTCATACCAAAACATGCTTCTCTGCTCAGAGAAAGACTTTGGGATTATCTTGCATACACTGGCCTCCCAAGCTTCTGTCTCATCTAGTTTTCCAGTTACAGGGCAGATTTCTTGGTTGTAAAAAAACTTAGCGTCTCCTTGAGACAGATGAGCCTCCCCTTATTTTGGTGACCCTCGACTGGGACCCAATTGCTTCTCTCTTGTTGGTGGAATTGTTCAGCCTATAAACTCTGATCTAAAATTCTGCAGAATACTGAATTCACAGTGAGTTATTTGACCTGTCCTGCTGTCAGTACAAGAGTGGGAATGCAGTGCTCTATTAGACTGACCAGACAAGCTAAGAAAAGCAGCACAGCAAGCCTTCCTTCCAGCACCTGTACTGCCCCCCCCAAAGGATATAGCAAGATTCTCTAGCAGGACAGGGCTTTGAAGGACATTGGCTTAGAAGTAACATTACTGTTTCCTGCAAATAATGACCGCCATTCTATGGGGACAGGGTAAACAGCTAAATGCATTTTTCTTTAGATGACAATAAGAGTGGGTTACTTGGTTCCAAGGAGACACCCACCAGGGAGTTACCTTGTTTCAGAGCAGCAAGCTCCATTCTTTCACATGCATGGAATAAACAGTATTTTCTTTGCAAAATACCTATTGCCTGAAGCTACCTCCATTCAGCCTGTGATCTCATCTTATTGCAAAAGATAAGTGGGGTTAGGCCTGGTCAGAACTTGGCTGGGACATCTCAAGGTAAAAAAAGGAGGTGCTGTAAGAAGCAGTGTTGGCAGTTTAATAGGTGATGCTGCTTCCTCTGAGTCAATACAGAGGTAATGTTCCAGGAGAGAGGTTCAACTAGCAGGAGATAGCTGGAGGCTGCTGGATGAAATACAAAACTTGTATCCTGACAACTTGTGGCATCTGTTTTGAGGAAGATGGTAATCTTTATGTCCTAGGCAAACAAATCCTATCAGCCTAAGCTCCTCTGATAGCCATCAGTCAAAACCACACTCCATTTTAAGATGGTCCACCCCAGAGAGGCTGCGTTTTGGTAGAGGAAAGATCGACTGCTACAGTTACCTGTAAAGGTGCTAGTGAGGTTGAAGTGACTGTTCATAAGTAAATATTTTATTGTGCTTAGAATTAATCTCTTTTGAGAACAAAGATTTTTATTACAAAATACCCAAAACTTCACTCGAGCCAGCTTTCCTATGAAGCAAGGTCCTATTTATTTTCATGTCCGAAATAAATTCTCAAATACAAACAAGTGAATAGAAAATTAAAGTGCTAAACCATGTACAGGGGTGCACATAGGAGATGTCTGGTGTGCCAGTGCACTAGGACAGAGTGAAGTGGTCTTCTCTCTCAGACTGTCCCAGGTCCCACTCAGTCACTAGTTCTGAGGACACCTCTGTGAAGAGATGGTCCCAATCCCAGCTGACATCATCCTACCAAGAGGAAAAAGACACACATGCTGAAATGTTACTGGTGACACCCAAAGGTCTCTGAACAATGCCAAATATTCAAGATGAAAAGCAAAGAGAGAAACTAAATGGCAACTGCCCCTGCCAGGAAAGCCCCAGATACAGTTGGCTAGAACAGGCATCCTAGCTAGAAGGAAATGTGAATCTCTGCTACAATGTAAAGATTTTGACAGAATTATTCATGTTCCAAAATTCCATAAAGGAGAGATGTTTTTATACTTGTTAATCTTAGATACTCCCAGGCAGGGTGTAAAGAGGAGCCAGGAAATCTTCCAATCTTCTGCACTTCTCCTGAAGCATCTGCAATTCTGAGCTGCAGAAATCCTTTGTTGAAAGTCCTGAGCTCCTGCCCCCCAAGTTGTATTGAGGTTGTTCTGTCCTGCTTTAGCACATCCCTCTGCCCAAATCCCAAATGCTTTCTGCCTTTGTCCCCCTGTACTGCCCTGCAGAACTACCTGGAGCTCATGATGGCTACCAAAAGACAATACACAGAGCACTGCTTCTGTAGGCATCTGTGACAGTGCTAGGCCCTTCACATTTTCCTTTCTAGCTCTTTCATACCGAAGGGGGCCAATCATAGTGATGCCATAACCTCACACAGAGAAAGCCCTATATATCTTTAAAATAATCTGTTGGAGAAATCAGACCTCCATCCTCTTGGACAAGATCCTCTTCACAGGCTCCTCCTCATCTCTCTCCTCCACCAAAGGCTTATTTTCCAAGTGTAGTCCGAGATACGTAAAAAGCTTTTGCCTTGTTGGTGTTCCCACAAAAGAAAGACTTACCTCTCGTAGTTCATGTTCTGGAGCCAAAACTTTGGTGAGAAGCTTGAGGTCAACCTCTCCATCCTATGAACACACAGAGTCACAGTCTTACAGACAGTGAGAAAGCGGACACCATAATTTTACCAAGTAGGTTTCGCTAGAGATAAGCACAATGTTTGCCTCATAAGGGACATATACTTTGTTCAGGACAATAGCAGGAGCCTCATCTGAGCAGCAGATACTATACCCACACTACTACTAACAGACACAAATAAGCATGAAAGCCACACTGCAGAGAGGAACAGACTTGAAAGCAGACTGGAAGTTGTCTGGATGATAGGGCTGTGTATTTTACGCAGCTGAGTATCATTGTGGAGGATGATGGAAGCCTGGATGATGGAACCCTGGCAGGAGAGGGAGTCACATCGGTTGCCCCATAGCAACATCCACTTACCAGAGTTTGAAAGGCAGCATACTTCATAAGATCTTTGTCCAGGTCATGGTAGGTCAGCACTCGATTCACCTGCACACTGCAATCAGAAGGGGTCAAAGTACTATCCTGAGTAAGTGTGGAAGCACATCTGAGGAGAAGGGTGGCATGGACAGGAATCTGGTGACACCCATCTCAAGTGTCCACATCACCCATGTGGATTCTCAAGATGGGTGTCCCCAGATAGAATCACATTTCATTCAGCAAATGAACAGTCACTGACAAATCTGCATGCCAGACTGTGCACATGCAGAAAAATAGGATGTAGAGTAACCACAGACTCCATCAGAGAAGCCAGCACACCAGACAGAAGCTCCACAGACTAGCTGCAAGGGCCAGAAAGAAAACAGGAATGTAGTGAACATTGGAACAGCCCCAGCAGGTTCTGAGCCCCACCACACAAGCTACAGAATAGTAGGGACCTTGTGATTTTCATGTCCGAGCTGTGTCACAGCTATAAAATACAATTTCTTAAAATGTAGCCTCCAAAGAGAAACACAAGGTAGGGGGGTAATGCACTGCTGTGCCATACTTCCCTTTGCAATTGATGCAATACTATAGAAAACATCTATATTAATTTCATTTCTGTTTGTGTTTGTCCATGAAAATTACTTGTCTTTTCAACTGCAGGGAGACTATGAATACAGGAGGCACAGATGGGATTATAAAAAAAGAGAGAAAAAAAGACATGAACTCCGGTGAGAGACAAAGTAATTTTAAATTTTCTACTATAAAGTGTCATTTATTTTTGTTAACAGCTATTTAATTACAATACCTACTCCATACTTGTGAGAGAGGCATCTGTGGACAGGAGTAAGATATCCCACCCCTCCACATAAGGGTCAATAGAAGTCCCAGTCTGCAATAGGCCCAATAGGGGAGAGAAGACTTTACTGATACATTTAAGATACAACCCCTAAAACTTTCTTTTTTTAAAAAACTTGCTGGTCTCCCTTGAGCTAACCCCAAGGCTATTCTGATAACACCTTCAAACAGGACTGTACTTTGCAATTAACTAGGCACTTGAGTATGAAGGATATCCTGTGGCGGGCAAAGCAGCCTACAACCATGCATAATCAAAGTGTGTGTGATAATACCTGTGTACTGGAGGCATTTGAGGTTATACAGGCAACCTTAAATCAAGCAATTCCTAACTTTTGAGAGCTTAATTCTGCAATATCCAACATGCTACGCTAACATAGTTTTTGTATATATAGAGAGAATATGCAGTAATTGTTTTCTCTGTGTAATAGGAAACAAGAAGTTAGCACTGTTCAGCTTGGAGCCTCACTGCCACAACACACAGCATCGAATCCTGCTGAATGACACTGCCACTGATGTCCAGAGAGCATGAGATAAGATGGAGTTTAATTTCACCAGCCATTTCGCACTGTGGATGAGAACCTCAAGAACACCTGGAAGTGTTCTTACCTGGGGGGAGCTGCCACTTGCATGGCCAGATCTTCCTCCTGGACCTCCTCCAAGTCAGGGATCACAGGAATGTCTGCAACATGAGAAAGCAGCAGCAGTTAAGTGGGGGGTGTTGTGCTCTCCTCTCTCTAGAGACAAAGGTTCCCTTGCTTCACAGATATGAAACAGCCTGTTTCTTATTAGAGGAAAACACAGGAGAGTTATTTGGCAATGATTAAATATATATTGTTTAATATTAAAGCAAGGCAATAAAGCTTTGAAGCTTGGGGTCAAAAGAAATCTTGCAAGAGGAGCAGATTTGGGCCATGGACCATACATTTGAACAAACTTGAAGCTGAAAGAAGATGGCTGCACTAAACCCTGCTGCCTACTTGCCATTACCCAAAGACTGACAAGAGTTTTGCTTCTTAATGAGATGTGTTATCACTTGCTTAGCTCAGCCACTAGTCACCTAGGCTCTGTTAGAAATGAAACGCGGGGCAGGAACTGAGAGAAGCCATGTAAAACTACATGCTGAAGGAGCTGCTGGCTGGGTCTCAGACTGTGCAAAGGCCTGTGGCCTTCCTGACAGCTGAGGAAGGAAGTGCTGGTGGTCTTGCACACACAAAGACTAGGGAAGATGCACCTAGTTGTAATGTCATAAACCTTTTGTGATTTCCAGTGTGACCCTGGAATGGCTGATGTCTAGGTTACTGGATTTTCCCGACACAAGGCTACTGCACCTAAAAAGGACACTAGAGACAAAAGAACGGAGGAGAGGAGGAACTGGGTGCACACTGAAATCCTGATAAAGGAGCAAGGCTCTGAGAGCATTGCATGCTTTTTGATTTGACAAAGTCTTGTAAACAGCTGGAGATTGAGAGAACAAAAACCGCGAGAGGAAGAAGTACCTGGAGGCGCAAAGCAAGGACAGAGTACGCCAGCACGAAGCTCCTTTAAAGATTCAAGGCCACAAAGGCTCTCCAGAGACCCTGAGCCCTCAGACTGTGGAGAAGCTGGTGGCTAGGCTCTGGTTTCAACTTGCAGCGAGCAGGCTGCTCCCGGCTCCGCCAGCAGCGCGGCCGTGCTACTGCGGGAGGGCAGCAGCCGCTGCGCCTGGCTGTGTCCGTTCCACAGCCCAGGCTGAGATGAATATTCAGGAGCTGGCGAGACGTTCCCACCTGTGGTGCTCAGGGCTCTGGGCAGGGTTTTCCTGAAAAGCCCCTTGTCCGGCCACCTGTCAGAGCTTCGCGGGCTCTCGCTGCCCTCTCCTGAAAAAAACCCCGGCCAGCAGGGCGGGAGGCAGGACACGGCCCAGCCGGGCCTCGGCGCGGTGGCCGTTCGGGGCTGGCCACACAGTGGGATTTCTCCTTAATTGGCTGCCTGGCGGAAGGCTGGGCGGGACGGCAGCTGCCAGGAGAGCCGGGCCGCAGCGAAAGGCAGCGACAGCTCGGGCGGGCGCAGCAGACCTGTGCCTCCTAGCTCCCCAGGGAGCAGGTGCCTGCAGAGCAGCTCTCCCGCTACAGCAGACTTCCCAAAGACATTTAAAGGGAAAGTGCAGCAACAGGCCCCCAGGCTGTCCCTTAGAGGAGGAGGCGTATGCAAGAAACGCGTCACCAGCGAGTCGCTGGGAATCTGAGGCAGATCTGTGCCCTCTCTGCTTGTAGGGACAATACACAGAAGAAGCGCTATCCTGCAGTCTCTTCCCTGCAGGGGCTCCCAGCTCTTGGTAAAACTTGTAGCAAAATGCAATTACGGGACCAAAGCATCTCCATGGACAGAGACTGACCTGTGGAGGCAGCTGGTAAAACCTGCTCAGTGGGAATGTGGGAGAAAGTCCCTGTATATAAGCAACAAATACCAAGGAGGGAACAGACTGCTGAGACTGGTCCAAGGGGAGGAATGAAGCACTGCGCAGAGATGCTCTGTTAGGTCCAGGCAAATGAGCATGGGAATGAGAAACAGCCTAATCTCTCCTGAGCTAATTTATTCTTT